TCTATCCTTTCCCCTAGCCCTCCCACTTCCTTCCCCTTTGCCCCTTTTCTTCCTATTTCACATTACCTATTATACATTTAGTCCTTATTTACACAAGAAATTAAATTTTCATTTGACATAGGATAAAGTTTGTTTTACATTTGAAATCATGAGAAGCAAGATTTAGAGCACTTGCACACTAATAGAAAGTATCTCACATGATAAAACTGTTGGAATGAATGGATTCCAAAAATTTTAAGTTTATTTTTCCTTCTACTTGAAGATTCGATTCAAGGGAGAGGGGTGTGTTAGCTTTCTCATCACTGAGACACAAAACCCAATACCCAGAATTTAAATGAGGAGAGGTTTAGTTTTTTCGTGATTTCAGTCATTATCCTCTGATTCTAAGGAAGAGCGTGGCAGTGGAAGGGCATGGCAGAGCAAAGCTACTTAGTTTATGGTGTCTGGAAAGCAGAGCCGGGGAAGAGTGCCAGAATAGCAAGGGCAAGGGCCCAGACACAGATCACAAGGCCTCCATGACCCACCCAAAGCAAACCAAGTTGAAACTTCACCCTAACTGCCACATTCTACCCCTTTTCAATGTGCTACCTAAACACTTCTCCTTAAAACATACTTAATCTCCAAATAAAGAAAATAAGTTCATAATTCCATCTAACCATAACACAACTATTCTGTCAGTCAGAAATTCAATAATCATTTCCCCAAAGTCTCAACAGTTCCATCATTTTTCAAAAGTCCAAGTCTCTTCTGAGACTCAAGGCAGATTCCTAGCTGTAAACCCCTGTAAAAATCAAAAACGATTAATGTAATCCCAAAGTACAGTGATACAGAGTAAACATTCCCATTCCAAATGAGAAGGAATAACGGTATAACAAAGAATCCAACCAAAGGGGAAACATTAAATTATATAGCTCCACATCTGGCATCCTAGACACACAGTGATAAAATGAGAGTTCCAAGGGGCTCGGGTGGCTCCACTCCTGTGGCCTTGCTGGTTGCTGCTGACACAGCTCCTCTCTTGGGTGACTACACTCATAGCCTGCAACTTTCCTGGGTAGACATTCTACATTCCTAGCATCTTCGACTTCCTAGGGTCTCTTCCTTTGATTTCATTCCCACAGCTTAATGCACTCAGAGGCTCCTTGCTTGACCTTTTAGGCCTTTCTTTGAAGTCAGAGTAAAAGTATCCCTGACCCCACAACTCTGTGTGCCAGTAAAATGAGCATTATGTGGGCATTGCCAACATCTACTGTCAGTGGGGGTAGTAGTCAGGGCCTCTTGGATCATGGCTGCAGCAGCCTCTGAATACCTAGATGTTTGAGCATGGTGAAATGAATACCAGGGAATTCATTCCCTAGGAGGCCCTTCTCTAGCAGAGGTCCCAGGGATTCTTCTCAAAAGAAAGATTGATACTTTTGTACCCTCAAGGCTGCAATGAGTGGGGTCTTGATAATTCCTGATGTACTGTTAAGGTATCTTCTTGTCCCTGTATAAAGTACTTTGTTTCCTTTTAATGGCACTGATGTCTTTAGCAGCCACACCTCCTTTAGCCCTAACTTTCAAGGTAGTTCCTTTTAAGCCCAAATTTAAGTTTTTCTAATTTTTCTGCCCTTCTTTTTTTTTTTTTTTTAAGACAGGGCCTCACTATGTAATCCAGGCTGACCTTGAACTCACTATGTACCCCAGGCAGGCCTCAAATTCATGACAGTCCTCCTGCCTTCACCCTCCCAAGTGCTGGGATCACAGGTGTGTGCCACCACGCCTGCCTGCCTTTTGCCCCTTCTCCCTGTAAATCTGACTAAAAGCTGCCGTCTGTGCCCATGCTACAGCCTAAATGCTAGGCTGTCATAAAATTTCCTCCTCCATATTAATTAGTCCTCTGCCATTAATCTCAGTCTTCCACAAAGTCTCAGAACCCGACCAAAATGTAAACAAATTTTCTTCCAGAGTATAATACATGTGGCCTCCTGTCTACCTGCCAGTGGAGTCCTTGTTTCCAAGTGAAACCACCTGGTCCTGGCCTTCATTGTCCTCATTCCTATCAACATTTTGGTCTTCTGTTACTGCCCCCCAAGCTCTAATATTGCCTACCAAACACTGCTCACAACATTCTAGGGCTTCTGTAGCCTGCATCTCCAAACTTTGTCAAACTGCTCCCACAAACCAGTTTCAAAGATTTCTGAACCACCTGTAATCACCCCACATCTCAAGTATCAATTTTTTCTGTATTAGTCGAGTAATACATAATATTCAACACCCACAACTTAAGGAAGAGAGGTTTAATTTGCTCACAGTTTCAATCTGATCAGCTGGCTCCGAGGCAGAGGTATGGTAGAAGGGTATGGTAACGCAAAGCTGCTTAGTCCATGACAACTGGGAAGCAGAGCAGAGGAAGAGTGCCAGAATGGAAGGTGTGAGGGACCAGACATAGACCTCAAGGCCTCCATGACCCACCCAGATATACCTAAAGGTAGATCCCAAAGCCAACCAGATTGAAACTCCACCCTAACCACCACAATGGGAATCTATTATTCTAGATCAGGCTTCAAGTTTTCTTTTTACCAAGGAAAAACAAGGTACATGTACAGTGGTACCTCAGTTCAAAAATGCTTCCGTTCACAAACTCCACATCAAGTGATGAACACGGCCACAGCCATTTTCCCTGCAGGAACACAGCTATCCACTCCAGATTGATGGATGGAATTAAGTTCGTGAACTGAGGTACCACTGTACCTGGTGTAATTCTGCTGTATGGTGTCCATGTAAAGTGGTATCCTACTTAGTTTGTATTGAAAACATTAAAGCAGGTCTCCTTTTTTCCTTCCCACTTTTCAGATTGAGGAGCATGCAATTCAAGATTTGTTGGTTTTCTATGAGGCATTTGGCAACCCTGATGAGTTTGTCATTGTTGAAAGGACATCACAGGGACCACTGGCAGTGCCTATGTGGAATAAGCATGGATGCTAGTTGAGATGCGTTTTTCATAATTTATGATTGTTGTAACAGTATAAACAGATTTGGTAATAGATCATTCTAGATTAACTAAAAAAGGGTCTAATCTCTTTACTATAATTTATAATGTATGATTAAAAGGAAATTCATCAGAATTGTGATTTTAGTAACTTTTTATGTGCAGCTGTCAGGAAAAACTTTTAAGGTTGAATGAGATTGCCTCTCTTGAATAATCTTATAGAGGAAAATATGAATGAAGTGCAAAATTTGAGAGTGATGTACTAAGAAATAACTTTTATTTGAGAGAAATAATTTAGGAGTTTTGTCATTTATCTCTTGTCACTCTGCTTTTTAAATATAGCATCAATTAACTGAAAATAGACACATCAGTCATTACTTCTGTTCCATTCATGGCCAGAACTTTGCATTTGCTACAATAGTTATGTTTCTATTCTTGTTGCTTTTTCATTAGGCTGTTAATGTTCAGATCTCCTTAATGCCTGACCTGCATGAGTATCTTATTTCATTTTGGACAGCACATTGTCTCTTATATTAAACAACAGGTTATAGTAGAAAGAAAATAAGAACACTTAACTATTCTGGACAGCTTTGTCCAAGATAATGATTGGCTTTTTATTTTTGATTTTTAAAAATTATTATTAATTTTTTTGTGTGATCAGAGATACCATTATGAAAGCCTAATTGTGAAAGAATTAATTTCTCAAAGTGTTAAAATTTTCTAAGACAAATGTTTAGCTGTACATACAAGAATTGAATAGTTTGGAAGATTGTTGGTTTATAATTACCTCTATAATATTATTTAATCAGAAATTGTATGAACCTGGATTATATGTATAAATATAAAAATTGTTTACACTATGCTGTTTGATTTGTTTTTGAATGTTTAAATTTTTTTTTTAAATGTTAAATCTGTGCTCTAGTATGTATACAAATTGGGAAGGTTGATGCTCTAGTCTTTGGAAAATACCCTTAGGAGACCGTATAGGTAATTCACTGCTATAATTCCGTTGATGGAAATATAATGGAAACTAACTCAGTATTTCAGTTTTATCTGTATCCAGAAGCAGCAGACATGTAAACAAATGTGCAATAAAGAATAATCTTGATCCATGTCACTCCTAATGTGTGCTTGATATCTTTTACTATATTGAAATCTGTTATGGGAAAAATTACTAATTATTCCATCTGATATGGTATACTAATAACCAGTATGTTTCAACTGTTGCTATATCCATCCTTAGACTGCTTTTAAAAAGGATAGTTTTCCAATTTGAGTAAATTGAGAAAAAGTGAATTTTATAATGTTTTATTGTTGTTGTAGTAAACCTTCTGAAATAATTGGTTTATTTCATTTTAAAACTTTGAAATTCTGTGCATATTGACAGCTTTAATATATAAAGATCCTGTAATGATATTTTTGCTGTACTCCATACTTGCAATGCACCCCCAGAGGGTCTTTGCTGGATGGGGCATGAAAAAGCAAGAGCTGACCAAGTTGAGGAGGCACTGGTCCTTTAAAAACCATAAGCAGAACAGTTGCACTTTGTGCTCTGTTTTACATAGTGAACTATTATATAACATTTCATGGTGAGGGGGTTGGTAGTAAAGTGAAAGATAAGCACTGCTATGAACTATAATTCTTTATAAATTATTTCATGGAGATAACAGCATGAAACATTGCCACAAAAAAACAAAACACAAAAAACAGGAAGTTGTAGGATTTTTTCCCCAAACAATAAAGTTCTTCCTGTAGTCATTCATCTTTAATTCTATAATCCCAAGAAAGACATAATAAATCTAAAGGAAGTCTAGAAATGGCTAAATGAAATAATGCTCAGTGGCATGGAAAGGTCTTTAAGACTGACCAAAACCATTACAGAATGCTTAACCGCGAAAAGATGATGGATGTGTGAAGTATTGGGGTTAGGGACTTTCAGAAGCAGAATGTGCTTAAAATGTACAAAATCAAGATTATGAGTGAAATAAAGTCAAATATGTTGACCCAAAATACTAGGATTCAGGACTGTTTGTTAAGTTCTAAGAAGACAGCTTTTGAGAAAATCATGCTTCATATAGGGCCAACAGATAAACGGTATTGGTAAGCTGGTTGTAACTTTTTTAGAGGCTAGGGCATATGTATTTTTTCACGATAAGAAGGTTGTTAGCTGTTTCATAAAAATGTTAGATCTGAAGAAACCTTATTAATTGGCACATTTATTTTACAAATTAAAGAACATTAACTCAAAAAGTGACAGGAATTAAGTCTTTGTCTTTTTAGTATGGATCTCTTGCAACTACAGCAGGCTACCTCTTTGAAATTGCCAGTTGTCTCATTTGTCTATAGCAATTTAGCTAAGACTTAAAAATATAACCACTTAGTGAAGATAAATGTGACCCAGAAATTCAAAATTTGGAAATGTAAAAGATGTTTTCAGAATAAAAAACAATAATCTTTGATGAAGAAATTGGACACAGGTAATTAAGATATTCATGATAATGCCTGTATAGTATATATTTTTGCTTGTGATGATGTTATGTATGATACCAAAACACCTGGTCATGTATATATATAAGGCTATATACATAAGCCATCAGACTACAGTTCAGCACTTATGTACAGATAGTTTATTTTAAGTCTCTCCTTAGTTGTCTAGCCAGCATTTCATTTATGTTGAAACTGAATTCTTGCTACCCTCAAACTCCATTTTTAAAAATTTCCTTCTATCTTAGTCATTCTCTCAAGTCACTTAGACTGAACTTTTGGATTCTTTGCTTTTTTCCTGTTATAACCACCATTTCCAAATTTGTTGGTTATCTAACTTTTATCAATTTTCTCTCCACATCTTTAAACTTTCCTGTTTTGTTTTTAATACTGCTGTGTTTTGTGGACTTATTATCTTTTATGTCTTTGTTGTATCTTTTTATCTATTTTATGACTTTATTTTTTTTTATCTTAAAGGTATGGTAGAGTTAACCATTGAGGCTATCTGAGTATATACTTATGTGATGGGAAGATTTTAGATTATTAATTCAATCTGTTAACATTTTCTATGTTTTTAGGTCAGTTTTAATAACTTCTTTCTATGAATTTATCCATTTCATATAAATTGTTTAGTTTGTTGGCATATAGCTGTTTGTATTGTTGTTCATAGTCCTTTTAATTTCTGTAAGATTGATGATTATATTCCCACTTTCATTCTTAATTTTGGTAATCTGTGTTTTCTCTGTCTTACCAATGTAGATCTTTTGAAAGAACCAACTTTGGGGTTCATTGTTTTCTCTATTGTTTCTTTTTCATTGGTTCTGCTCTGATCTTTATTATTTTCTTATTTCCTCTTTGTTTTAGCTTAATATGCTATTCTAGGTATTTAAGCTTTGATTATTGATTTGAGATCTCTTCTTCCCAAATGTGGACATTTTAGAGCTACGAAGTTCCCTCTAAGCAGTGCTTTACCTGCATCCCATAAATTTTTGTGTTTTATTTTCATACTCAGTTTATTACATTTTTATTTCTTCTCTAAACCATGGATTAAGTGTATTGTTTAATTTTCAAATATTTGAGAATTATAAAAAATATTTTGTCAGTGTATAATTTTTGTTAAGTTTTGAGAATATTTTGTATTATTTCAGTCCTTTTAAATTTATTGAAAATGTTTTGTAATCTAGTATATGGTCTGTCCTAGAGAATGTTCCATTTGTACATGAAAAGTCTATAAGAAAAATAATTGACATCACCTCTTAAAAAATAATAGCTTATAGGAGTTTGTATTTCCTGTGTTGAGAACACCAATTTTTTACCTAAACCCAAGACAGAAACAGATGCTTAGGAGCCTAAAGTGTGTACTGCGTTGGATGTATCCTGTTTGTCCCCCAGATCCATTCCCTATTTTTCTCCACATTACTGTGTATTGTGGGTTGAACTCTACTACTTAATTAGCCATCTCATTTCCCTCTGGTATTTGGTTATTGTAGCTATTTTGGAGCATTAGCAGAATATTGATGTACTGGCAGGAGAAAAAAGAATGAAGTTAGCATTTATTTACGTATGCTCCCTATTTCTGTCAGGCACTCTTCTGTCCAGGTTCTGGTAATATTGTCTTCCCTCACCATTCAGACCCAGAAGTGGCAAAGTTAGGCCAAGGTTACTGCAGTGTCCATTGTGGTTTCTTTATGTTCTTTTCATGCTTTTATCAAGTATCTTTTAATAATTTACTCAAGACAAATATGCCTGTCCTGCAAAGGCACTTAACTGATTTAAAGATGATCTGGATAATGGTGTGCAATAAGAGAATGTAGAGGTTTTGGTTCAAGCATATTTTACCTAGAAATTTGACAGTAAATAGATGTGTGAAAGTCGTAAGTAGCTAGATGTGGTATTTATATTTTTGAAAAGTGAAAGTTTGCATCTAGAAGGCAGAAAGGGAAATAGTGGGGGCATATGGAGAGATTGAAGATGCTGAAAATAGAAGAATTAATGGGGGCAAAAATGGAACAAAGACTACAAAGTAAAACTTGGAGAAAAGTGCTGTTTATTTTTCTTAAACTGAGGAGAAGAAATTGAAGATAATTATGTATCAGTGGTTCCTAAAGATTTTAGTCCCTGATTAGCAACATCAGAGTCACCAATAACTTGTGAGACATACGTTCTTGGACTCCATTCCTGCTATACTGAATCAGAAACATAAGGAATGGAGCCCAGCAATCTGTTTAATCAATCCTTCCAGGTGACTCTGATGTAGGTTGAAGTAGGTATTTTGGGATTAAAGAAAGGAAAGATAGTCACAGGCTTTATAGTCTAAAGAAAGATTTTTAAAAGTATCGTGGGTGCCTCAAATGTTGTCTATTACCAAACAGAGATTTTCATTAATAGATAGTAAAAGGAGGTTACTTTTGCTTTTTTTTAAATTTTTTTATTTTAAAAATAACTTTATTATCAAACACACACAAAAAATTAAAACCATAAAAAGAAGGACAATGCAAGGGGAAAAAACCACAATAATATTCACACAGTAGAACTCAACCAAAACAAAACTGAAAAGCACTTAAACATTTTTCCATATAACTTAAAAAAGGATCTCAAGCACCAACAAGACACCAGACGATGTGATTTGTTTCAAAAAGATCCCCAAAACCAACATTGAACAAATAATGATCTGGAAAAAAACCTCTGTTTAGTTAGCAGACTCCACATAAGCCAAACTTCTCCCTAATTTAAATTTTGATACAATCATATGACACGCGATGGAAATGTAATCTGAGAAATATGTTATTAGGCCATTTCATTCGTGTGTACCCTTAATTACACTTCCAGTTTCTCACACTAGAGAAACTATTTGGTATTTACACATATGTGTCCTATGTATTTCAGTTAAGAGGATGGCCTCAGTATGCATCCATTTATCTATAAATGTCTCTAGTTTCTCATTCTTTATGGCTGAGTAGTACTCCATTTTATTAAAAAAGCGCATCTTCTTTATCCAGTTTCCAGTTGATGGGCACTTGGGCTGTTTCCAAGCTTTCCCTATTACGAACTGTGCCGCTATAAACATGGGTGCACATATATCACTGTGGTAAGATTCTTTTAATTCTTTTGGGAAGATACCCAGCAAGGGAATACCTGGGTCGAACGGGACCTCTAAGCCAACTCTTTGAGGTATCTCCATACTGATTTCCACAGTGATTGCACCAGTCTGCACTCCCAGCAGCAGTGGAGAAGGGTTCCTTTCTCCCCACACCCCCACCAGCATTTGTTATTAGATGATTTCTTAATAGCAGCCATTCTTTCTGGGTTGAGGTGGAATCTCAGTGTTGTTTTCATCTGCATCTCTCGAATAACCAGTGATGTTGAACATTTTTTCATATATTTATTTGCTGCTTTTACTTCCTTGTCTGAGAAATGTCAGTTCATTTCAGATGCCCATTTTTGAATTGGGTCTTTGAATTTGGGGGGGGGTCTGATTTTTTTTAGTTCTTTATATAGTCTAGATAGTAGTTCTTTGTCTAAGGTACAGTTGCTGAAAATTTTTTCCCATATTGTAGGTTGACTCTTAGCTCTGTTGGTGGTTTCTCTTGCAGTGCAGTTTTGCTTTTGTTTTTAAGTCTCAAATATTTGGTAAAGCTGA